GGGGGTGGGGGGGGGATTATACAATGGAATAACTTCATGCATTTGGTATAGCTATGATGGGTAAATTGAAAATTCATTGTAGCTATGAAAAGTAATTAAATTAAAAGGTAGTTTTTATCCATTTCATTATCCATTTCATAACTCTTAGAATTAGCTACAGCAGGTAAATTTTCCTACTAATTTTACCTACATACCAATAACACATACTAGTTAATAAGAGAATAGAGAAAGCTCATCTAGATTTCGAACAAGAGTGATGGTAGATTAATTATAAGAAATTTTGGATATTTGCTTATTTTATCTTAAAGAAGTTGGGGCCTAAAATAGTTAGGATCTTAATCCTTGTCATGACAAAGTCATCAAAATTGATGGTTGTTGAAAGTTTGTCTCTCACCATCAAATAAAAATGGTGAAATGAATGAGATTTAAGGTATAATTTAGTATTTTGAAAAAACTTCTCGTAGAAAATACTTTCCCCATAATAAAATTTAGGAGCTTTAAATGTAGATTAATTTGACCGGTAATTTGTTAGAATTGGTTAAAAAGAAAGAAAGTTTGTCTCTCTCAATCCCTTTTTCCTTGTAACACAAGAAAAATAATGTAAATTTATAGAGGGTCCCTAAAGTGGCTAGACCATCATTTATTCTATTTTATTCATCATAAGAAAAGAAAAAAGAAAGAAAAAGACGTGTGAATTGTCTGAATATATTGTGTATAAATTATGAGGGCATTACAGGAATGTAAAATAATCATCATTCGTCACGCGCGTTTAAGTCTCAACGTAAATGTCGAACGAGTCCACCACAGTTGCCAAAAGAACACTCTGCTCTCGCCTCTTTTATTTGATTTTTCTGACTTTTCCTCTATCTAAGCAATTTCCGTAGTTCCAAACACGGTCTAAATCAGATTCCTTGCTTTTTTCATCTCAAATTCTCTACTTTTTGTTGCTTCGCAACTTGGCTTAGATCCTTCTTCATCACGCTTTGTAACTGCTTCACTCAAGGTACAATGGATGAATGCACGTTAACAGAATTGTACCCTGAAAATGGCTCCTTTTCAGAGTTTCCTTTTTCATAATTTCTTAGAACTTTTATCACTACTGTTTGATCTGTACTATTTTACTTTCTCAAGTTTACCTTTGTACTAATATGATGTATTTTTTCCATTTGATCTGTTGTTTGGTTGTCCAGAAATATATGAGCAAAAGGAATGGAACATTCATTTCCAGATTTTTCCTTTTCGCTGCTGGTGGAATAAGCTTTGTCGTTTTAGAATAGTTGCAAGCTCTGTGATTTTTTTCCAAAATTAGCAAACAAGACTCTTCTCGTAAAACATGTTTTTGTTCTCTTCTCGATATAGTTTTTAAATTATTTGGTTATTTCATCATTACGATTCTCTTTATACCGTTGAAATTGGAGATCCAGTTTAGGATGAAAATTGTATTCATTATTTCTTTGAACGAAATTAGTCTAAATGAAACTAAATGGTTATTGAGGATTCATATGGTGGATCTCAACTAGTTTGGGATTGCAGGAAGTTGTTGTTGTAGTTTCTTTTCAGGAGCTGAGTTGTAGTCTAGATTAAATTATGCTTTTACAGGAGTTGTTTAGCCTTTCCAAGATTTACATGTAACTAGAAAATATAAAGAACTGGACTCATTATTTTTTTGAACGAGATTAGTCTAAATTATGCACTTACTGGAGTTATTTTGTATATTATTGGCCTGAAATGATGAAGTAATATGTTCAGTGAGCATTCACATAGCCGACCCCAACTTGTTTGGGGCTGAGGCTTACTTGTTATTGTTGTTGACTCTTGAGTGCAAAAAATGCTTGAGCCGCCAAGTGCAGGAGTTAACTGCTTTTAATTTCTTACAGCTATTTCACGATGCGATCAATGCATAGATAGCTGAAAATTCGAAGTGCCCGGAAGAAATGGAGAAGGAGTCACATGGATTAATTATAGGCATCTCAATTGGAGTTGTGATAGGAGTGCTTTTAGCTATACTTGCATTTTTCTGCTTTAGGTACCATAGGAAACGTCCTCAGATAGGGAATAGCAGTTCTAGGAGGGCTGCCACTATTCCTATTCGTGCAAATGGTGCTGATACTTGTACAGTATTATCAGACTCTTCCATTGGTACAGAGTCACCAAAATCGACTATCCAGAATGGCATGTCAGTGTGGCTTGGCGGCCTTAGGAAGGCAAATGTTGTTTCTGCTTCCGGTATACTCGAGTACTCCTACAAGTATGTATCTATGACTGTATGCAAAAAGTGTTGCAACTTTTTAGTTCGATTTCCAATCTACTGCTCTCTCATTGTTTGTGCAAAGCGAAATGAGATTCAGCAGTTTTTCCATGACTTATTATTGCAGAGCTTGTTCAAAATCAGTACTTATATTATTATAGTTGTTTCAATCACCAGAAGTAGAATAAGGTAGAAGGATCCTAGGAAATCCAAACTTCCCCTTTCATTTTAACCACGTCCTTACAGTACTTGCCATAGCAGAAATGAGGCATTCTTTTTATTTACACTTTATGACAGAAAGTGCTGTTGACTGTAGGAAGCTTAAGTTCAAACATCGTCCATCCTAATGTCTGGCTTCTTTGAAAATTTTCTGTTTAGAATTCCAACAATGTACTGTTTGGACGTTCTGCAAAACTAGGAACATTCTCCTGTAGCAAGACTTTGCATCTTTGAGCCATGGCAATATCCAATTAATGCCTCTGATTCATAACTCTGATGAATGGTCTTACAATTCCCTTCACATTATTGACCATAAGCTGCACTATTCAATAAATAGACCTTGCATCTTAGGGCCATGATTATCTGCTTTTGATTCATAACTGTGCCGAATGATCATACGCTACTTTTTCATGACTGTTTGGCATTGCTTGCACCAGCTAGATCCACCTCTTAATCAATAAACTGGATACATTAGCCTCTCAACCAGTATCAACCCTTTTAACTCTCCTCTGAGAAGCACAAAGCATCAACATCAACCAGGCTTTTTGCTTAGTAATCACAATAGGAAGGCATATAATGTGGCTGTTGAGCTGCCTAACTCACAGCAGTTATGTCTCAGCAGCCCTTTCACCCCATGATAGTCTATCCATACTAATTCAAAATAATCTACATTTGATATGCTTAAACCTGATGAATGTTGCCAGTACTCCCACAAAGCAAACCAGAGATCAACCTTCACCCATACTTTTTTTTTTTTTT